TCTTGCTATAGGACGTGTGTGCTAACTAGAGAGACAGAGAGACAGAAAGCAAGAAAGCACCACCCCACCCCTCCCAGGATGGCCACTCCACCATCCCGTCTCTATTCTCCTTTTGTATACACATACATACACCTGGTGTAAGGTTGTTTAACTTTATTTATTTATTTATTTAGAGAGACAGAGTGAGAGAGAGAGAGAGAAGGCAAGCCGCCAGGTCTCAGTCGGCCATGTGGGAGTCCAGCGCCCTTAACCACCACGCCACCTGCCGGCCCCTAGTGTGAATTTTAAGCCATCACGTCTGGGACTCATACCATGGTCAACTACGTGGTAGTCCAGCAACATAACCATTATGCCATCTGCTAGTCCCGCATGTGGTTTCTCTTTTTGTAAGAGATAGAATGTCCTGGTTAGAATCAGCTTCTTGGGGATAGCAACTTTGCCTTACTCATCTTTGTAGCCATTACAGGGTACAACATAGTGAATGCCCTCTGCAGAAGCACAGCTCAATAAATGTTTTTTACTTTAATTTTGATCAATTATTTATTTATATTGTGACATCTGTATATTCCATTAAAAGGAGAAAAATTATACTTTACTGTTTAACTGACTGGATTTGAATTTAAAAGAAAGTTTTCTCAAAATACATTATTAGTACATATAACAAGAACTGAGAACTCAGTCCAAAGTCATCAGTAGAGAAAAGCATTAATAAAAACAAATTGAAATGGAAAACAAGTTTTGGTCACTAAGTTAAAACAATACTGCCAACAACAATCTCACCTGAGGAAGGATTCATTTAGATTTCCATGTTATTTTCCCCTCCAAAAGACAAGGCCTTTATTCCTTTCTTTGACTAAAAAAAAAGAAGTCATTTGGTCATTAATTAAATATAATTGATTTCATGACAAAGACCTAGTCACAATCCTGCTTTGATGACTGTTCATAAATCCTGACAAAAATTTGCAAGTCCAAAATTATAAGCTGGGCAGCGTGATGAAGCAAAAAGAACTTTGACTTTGATATTATAATGTGCTGGAGTTCAGACTCTTCTAATAACTGCCAGTGAGGACTTTAAAAGTAACTTTACCACTCTGGCTCCAGAATCTGTTTTTCTCTTTTCTTTTCTTTTCTTTTCTTTTCTCTTCTCTTCTTTTCTTTTCTTTTCTCTTCTCTTCTTTTCTTTTCTTTTCTCTTCTCTTCTTTTCTTTTCTTTCTTTTCTTTCCTTTTTCAATTATCAGAGAGAGAGAGAGAACCTGCCTGTGGGGTATGGTCATGCTGCTGTTCTTTTCCCTCCATGTCTTCATCCCATCAGGATTTGGGTCGTGCACACACACGCACAGACACGTTTTTCAAACCTCTGAGGCTGGGATTCAAACTGCTATGTGTTACGTAGATCTGGCTTTCTGTGCATAGCACTTAACCACTGTGCTAATTTGTAAAAATAAGGATGATAATTTTGTGAATAAAAATGACATAATGTGTTAAAAATGACCACATGATGCCTGGCAGGGTAGATATGTAACAAACAGCTAGTAAAAATCAACCAGTCCTAACTTACATCAAGAAAACCACTGTATACTCCCTGTTATGGGAGTGTGTGTGTGTTTTTTTAAATTTGGGAAGCAAGCAATAATAGTATCTAATAGGTATTATGTCCCCAGCCGTGTGCACGCGCACACACACGCTCACACACACACTTTGATTCAATTTATATTTCTTTCTTGGAATTTGCTATGGGCACACATGCTTACTGGAGGGAGGCAAAGAGAAGAGAGAGAAAAAGTAAGAAAGCATCCTCCCCCCAACCCAAGGAGGGATGACCAAACTGCAATCCCTTCTCCTCCATTCTCTTGGATTTGGGGCATGTACCCACCCACACCCAGTGTTTTTCAAGCCACCAAGTCCTGGTCTCTGATTCTCACCATTGGCCATGTGGGATCTAGGCACCTTGACCACTGTGCCACCAGCTGGCTCTCAATTTATATTTCCTTTTTTTCCTTTTTTTGGAGAGGTTTTTGCTATACGGCGCGTGCGCTCACCAGAAAGACAGAGAGAGACAGAGAGATAGAAAGTGAGAAATCACCCCCCCAAGTGGCTGGCTACACCACAGTCCCTTCTCCTCCATTCTCCTCTCGGGATCTTGGGCATGCACGCACACACACCCTGTGTGAGTTTAAGCCACCGGGTCCGGGACTCAAACTGCAGTCTACGTGGGAGTCCGTCGACATAGCCATTACGCTAACTGCTGGTCCCTCAATTTATATTTTCTTAAATTATGTTTCATTCTGATTCGGGAATTTGTCTATTTCATTTCATGCCAATTTTTCAAAATATACCGCTAAAGCCTTTTAGGTCTTTTCTATGATTCTAGAGCTGTGATGAATTTGGTATAAGCCACTGGCTACTGGAAACTATTTAAATTAAGATTAAATTAAAGTTCAACCACTCAGGAGCACTAGCCACATTCGAAGTGCACAGTGGCCACAAGAAGCTGATGGCTATTATATTAGCCATAGGACATTAGCTATTAGATAAAGAACATCTCCATCATTGCAGAATGTTCGATTTGATAGTGCTGTTCTAGAATGTACTGAGGGATCAGAAGGTGTTGTGGCTGTTAAGGTGCTGGACTCCCACATGGCCGACCACATTTCAAGTCCTAAACCTGGCAGCTCGCTTTCTCACTTTCTCTCTATCTTTCTGTCTCTCTCTGGTGAGTGCATGTGCCCTATAGCAAAAAATGTTTTAAACTATGTGAAAATTAGTTCCTTTTATTTACTGTGTTAGAAACAACTTTATGAAATTACTTTTCTCTCTCCATGTGGGAGATTACTTTGAAGAAGTGGAAAAATACTACTTCATGGAAAAACACATGCTAGCTAGCCTCACTACTTCTAGACAAAGTTCTTGTTCCTCTCAGATGGCAACACATAACAGCACAGCAGCTTCTGGTAAGTGGAGAAAAACAGCCAAGTCTTGCAGGGAGGCTGTTATTATTAAAGTTGAACTGTTCATTCCACTACTCCTACAACTTTCCTACAATCATTTTCCTGGCTCTACAATCCTATTTCTCATAGGATGAGCACCTAGCAAAGTGTTCTGAAAAACAAGTAAGGGAACTCAACAGAACTTTCAGCACTAAAGGGAACAGGCACTACTACAAGGTCTTAATATCCAGTCCAAGTGATGAAGTCAAGGTTTGCTGACACTCTGAGGACTGAAATAGTTAATATCGAAGCTCTCACGTCTCTAGAATTCTCGCTCTTCTTGCAAAGAGCTGAGCTGCTTTCTTGGTCTTCCTTGTGTGTGAGTTCATCTAGCACAGCCTGGAATCTATTCATAAGAACCAGGTTTTCCACTTTGCAGGTTTTCCAGATCCTCCTATTGTTTGGCCCTGTCCCCGATAGCAAATTTTAAAATAACAATAATAAAAGTAAATAAATAATCCTTAATAGAATGTATTGTTAACAACCCAATAACCCATCCAGGGGCTCTAGCCACTATGTAGGTCACCACAGGCACTCTGTTCCTATCACCATTGTTCATTTAGAGTTTTACAACCACCATCTTCCAGCTAAAAGTACAATTCTAAGTGCAAACCATGACACATATAAGGACCTGAGTATACTAAAGAAAAAGCCTCTTTTTCTCTGTGTCTCCAGAAAATATGAACCGAATTAAGAATCCTGTTTTAAAAAAAAAATTGATAATTTGGGACCAGCAAAAGTAGCATGGTGGTTAAGGTACTAGACTCCCACATTGTCAAATATGGTTCGAGTCCCAGACCTGCTGTCTTGCTTTCTCACTTTCTCTCTCTCCCTCTCTGTCTCTCTCTGGTCAAATTTAAAATAAATAAATAGATAGATAGATAGATAGATAGATAGAAAGATATAGCAGATAAATTTTTAATGTGATGATTTAAACTAAGTATTTTTACTATAAATTATTTGCACTTTTGAGCTTCCTTTGTTCAGATCATCGAGTTGATTAAAGCATGAGTACCTTTTGCCATATGACAAAAATATTCCCTAGCCTTTCACCCAAGAGATTTGGAGGGTTGGAGTCAGTCCTAATAATTATCTTTATTTAAATACTTAGTAGTTAACGCATGCTGCTCCTCTAGGCATGGCATCATCATGATTAACATTGACGATTTCAGTAATGACTACTGTCGGGTAGATGGTCGGATGGGTTTGATCCTGTCTCTTGCTTCAGGACCACATAGTGCAGAATGTGAGCTGCTGGGGTTCGTCTCTCTAGTTCCCTAAGGCTAGGAACAAGCAGCTTAGAGGAAAACAGAAAATATAGAGCACATCCCTGTTGGCATGAGGAAAAAGGGGAGTGTTTTTTGTCCTGTAATATGTGCTCCTTGTGAGAGTGGCAATTTTGTATTTTCTAAAGCCCCAGCTTGAAAGTGTCATATGGTACCTTTGAGGATGAAAGTAAACAGGTGGAAGAGGGTGTCATTCTGTGAATCTCCATGAGCAAAAACACAAAATAAACTCTTTACTGCTTTTAATATCATTTACAAGGTTTCTAAGAATTTAAATTTCATAAAATGTTTACTGTTTCACTGCATTCTGTGAATGTGTGTTTTTTTATTCCTATATATGTTGAGAATAAAAAAAGCCAAGAATAATTATGCTTGTGGACAAGGATAAATATGCGTTTAAGGCAACCAACACCAGTTAGGTATCCTAATTAGTCTGGCAAGAGACCTGGTGATCAACCTGGGATTTACTAAGCCTGCTAATTACAATTTCTAAGGTTTCCAGGCCACAGCAAACCAGTGTGGAAAGGTGCTCATCTGTGAAAGTGTACAAACAATACATTTTCCCACACTGTAGCCCTCAGTCCTCCATGAGGCTCTGTCTAGTAGACAGTGAGTGGGCTGGTGTAAGCTGGTCCAGCTATCCGGGGTAGATGGCAGAAGTAGGCGAGCCTACCTGGGAGACCCTGCAACCTTCATCCTTCCCATCTTTGATGCTAAGGATGCGGTCTTAGTGGCTGACTCCATTAAGTCAGCCATCCCACCTGTGTGCCCAGCCCCACCCATGTTATTTCATCCAATACCATAACTCTATGAAGCTAGTAATAAAGATGAGGAAACGGGTTCACAAAGGTTAAGTGGATTGCCGAAGATCACACAGCCAGGAAACATGAGAGCTAGGAATCAAAACCAACCTTAGCTAAATTCAAAGTCTGTAACTGCCTGTTACAGGGATAGGCAACTTAAAGTGCTCATATATCTGTTAACTATAGATAACTTGACTTATAGATAAACATATAGGTTTATCTGAGCTGTTTTTCAAGAATTATTTGTTTAATTTTATTTATTATTATTATTATTTTATTTACCAGAGAGAAAGAGAAAGTAACAAAGCAAGCCACCAGGTCCAGAACTCAAACCATGGTTGGCCATGTGGGAGTCCATTGCCTTGACCACCACATCACCTGCCAGCCCCCTGAACTGATTTTACTTATATTTCTTATTTCTTCCACCTAAAAATCCATTCTCTAGTTCCCTACATATCAACTGGATGTCCCACAATTCAGTTCAGTTCTGACACCAGCTATCTGGAGTTAGCGGAGACCACAAAGGTTAAGGGCTCAGTCCCATAAGACAGCTTCAACTTCAGATGCTAGTCACAGGCCTCAGGTTTCAACCTGTACTTATCCTTTTTTTAATAATTATTTATTTTTAATTCCATTTCTTATTATCATTTTTTTTTTTTTAATTTTGCCAGACAAAGACAGAGAGAAATTGAAAACAAGAAAGCAAGCTGCCAGGTCTGGGACTCCAACCACAGTCAGCCATATGGGAATCCAGCACCTCTACCCACCACGCCACTTGCTGGATCCCACTTATACTTCTGATCAACGAGCTCTACATCAGGAATTTCCCCTGCAGGAAATCAAAACATGCAACCTGAAAATATGCCATTTTGAGATACTGGTTATTTTCAGCTGAAGGCACTTAAGAAACACTAGCTACAAGGGATGCTTCCTGACCTGATTCTATCTTAGTTCCTTGAGAATAAATGTCCCATGAGACGGAAACTTTGCTGTACCAGAGAAAGGAGGACGCTCTCATGACTGGAGACAGGGAGTTGACACTGAAGTGAATCTGTACAAATTTAGTAAAATAACATTTATCTTCTACTAGCATCTTCCTCTATCTCCTGGTCACTTTCCTGCAGTTTACCGCCCCTAGCCCAAATTCCTGTTCCTTTGTCCTCCACGATTATTCTTTGTTGAAATGGTATATCAGCTCTCAGGCCTGTCTTCTTCGTTGGGTCTTTATTGCTCTTCTATGAAGGCTCCTGTGCCATGTAAAAATGCGAACATCAGATAAAGTTGGTGTGCTCTTCTGTTAACCTGTCTTTCGTCAGTTGAATCCTCTAGTCCAGCCACAGAACCAAGAGGGTCAAGGAAAACTCATTCCTTTCCCCATACCACAACTGCTTTCTCGCATTCAGAGATCTGCATGATTTGCATGCTTCATTCACTATTACCAGTTTATTATAAAAGCTCTGACTCAGGAATAGGCCAATGGAAGAGATGCACAGGGCAGGGACACCGAGTTCCCATGGCCCCTCCTGGTTTACTACCCTCCCAACAACTCTGTGTGCTCACCCACGCAGGAGCTCTCCAAACCCTGTTGTTAAGGAGTTTTATGGAGGTTTATTTAGGCATGATTGATTAAATTATTAGTCATTGTTGCTTAATTCCATCTCTGGCCTCTCTCCCTTCCCTGGAGGTACAGGGTGGAGGTGGAAGCAGGTTGGTCTGAAAGTTCCAACTGTCTAATTTCATGGTTGGTATCTCTGGCAACCAGCCCCATCCTGAAGCTATTTAGATACTTGCCAAACACCACCTTATTAGCATAACCCAGGTATGGATGAAAGGAGCGCATCAGAAATATGAAATAATGGGACCAGCAGGTGGAGTAGAGGTTAAGGTGCTGAATTCCCATATGGCCGACTGCAATTTGAGTGCTAGACCCTGTGACTTGAAACCCACTGGGCACTGTGTGTTCATGTGTGCCCAAAATCCCAAGAGGAGAATGGAGGAGAAGGGATTATGGCATGGCCATCCGCCCAGGGGGTAATTTCTCACTTTCTCTCTCTCTCTCTGTCTCTCTGGCTAGCATATGTGCCTGATAACAAAAAAACTCTCTAAAAAAATAAAAATAAATATAAAATAATATTTCTGTCACCTCTATCAGTCAGGAAATTCCAAACATTCCTAAAATGTTTGGAACCCAGGGACAAAGATAAAATGTATGTTTCTTATTGGATTGCTGTATATATATATAGAGAGAGAAAGAGAGAAACAGTAAGACCATGAAAATAACAGTGCATTACTAACTATATATTCTTTACGTCTATCCATTTTTCTATGGATGTTTGAAACATCTTCCCAGGAAAAGTTCAGGAAAAACTCAAAGTGTGAAAGGTATACCATTTCCTCCCATGAGATTATGTGGAGTTTCTTTTATCTTTGGAAAAGGTTTGAGAAGCTAGTACAAGAATTAGAAATCTGGGAACCAGCAGTTAGCGTAATGGCTATGTCGCTGGACTCCCACATAGTCGACCGTGGTTTGCATCCTGGACCCGGTGGCTTAAAACTCACGCCGGGCGCATGTGCGTGTGTGCCCAAGATTCCGAGAGGATAATGGAGGAGAAGGGATTGCGGCGTGGCCATCTCTCCTGAGGGGTGATTTCTCACTTTCTGTCTCTGTCTCTGTCTCTCTTTCTGGCGAGCGCATGCGCCCTATAGCAAAAACCTCTCAAAAAAAAAAAAAAGAATTGACCAAATGAATTTCAGATTCTAACTCACTTTTTAAAAAAACAATAACAGTTTTCTCCCCCTTCCTTCCTCAATCCCTCCTTTCCTGCCTTCTCTTTTTTCCCTTCCCTTCCATTCCTTCTTTTATGCATACCTTTATTGCAGACTCTACCTAGACCCTGTGCTGCTGATACTGAATCAGTCAGCTTATCTTCAGTGTAACCAAAGTTATCTTTTGAATCTCAAAAGAAATGTCTATTTTCTTGTGCTACTTTTATTGTGTGATTTTCAAGCCCCAATTCCGGGTCTTGAACCACAGTTGGCCATGTGGGAGTTGGGCCATGCAGCAACTGCTGCACCATCAGCTGGTCCCATTCTTATGCCATTTAAAAGAAATATATAACATACCTTTTTTGTTGTTGGCATTGTCATGGTGAAATGGAAGTAGAAATTTCCTGACACCTTTTGGCTTTTCACACTCTTTTTTCAAAACAGTTGAAGAATAGATGATACGAATGTGTTGGTTGATTTCTCTATCTGGTGAACTCAAAAATTCTGGGTAGTCATCAATCTGGAAGAAATGATTCATTGGAATCATTGAAGACACATATGACTGCTTACCTGTGCTGCAATAATAAATCCCCCAAAGGTAAGGGCAAGTTTAAACTGCATTCTTTCTTCCTTTCTTTTTTTTCTTTTTTTCGGAGAGGTTTTTGCTACAGGGTGTGTGCACTCACCAGAGAGACAGAGAGAGACAGAGAGACAGAAAGCGAGAAATCACCCCCCCAGGGGGGATGGCCATGCCGCAATCCCTTCTCCTCCATTCTCCTCTCGGGATTTTGGGCATGCACACACATGCACCCTGCATGAGTTTAAGCTACCAGGTCCGGGACTTGAACCGTGGTCAACTACGTGGGAGTCTAGCAACATAGCCATTATGCCAACTGCATTCTTTCTTTTCATTTTCTGCACTGAGACATCTTTCCTTTTCTCATTTTTTCCCAATTCTTCCTCTGTTTGTCTTAGCCATTACTGAAGACATGCTCAGCAACCAAACCTAAGAAACTACTCCTATTGTAGGATTGCTAAATAGTAACTGTTATTATTTGTTAAAATACATCCCTCCTGGGTCAGTTATGGTGGCTAGATCCACATAGCTGAGAACATGCTGGTGTGTGCATGTGCCCAAAATCTGGAAAGAAGGGAGAAATGGAGGAGAAGGGATTCTGGTGTGACCATTCCTCGTGGGTAGTACCTTCTCATTTTCTCTCTCTCCTCTCTCTCTCATCGATGAGCACATGTGCTCTTTGACAAATTAAAAAACAAACAAACAAAAAAATCCTTCCTCACTTCCGATGTTTATTTATTTCAGTGAGACAGACAGACAGACAGACAGACAAGGACCCCTGTGAGAGCCCCACCACTCCAAGATCCTCCCCAAACTTTATGGTCATTCAGGATCATAGATGTGCTCCACGTGTTCAAGTCCACCCAGGATCCAAACTCTTGACCTTCCCATGTGGCTCTAGAATTGCTCGACAGCACACTTCAGCCTGTGGCCCCATCACTGGGCACTTCTCACTTCCATTTTGAAAATATTTCTTAAAAGGTCTCGAAAATGTATAATTAATTGGGTTTAAATTAGGATTGTTCCATGTAGGAGACAATGTCCATTTGTAGGCAATAGAGATTCTGTGAATAAAAACATTTGGGTTTGAACTATTGAACATGTTCTCTCCAAAGGGCTCTGTTTTTCTATCCTTGATTTAAAGGGAAAAGGTCTCAATACTTTTAGATGTTCTCTTTCATAGCCTGCTTTCATTTTTATGCCAGCTATAGCATCTGATTCTAAGCTAAGAGTAAAGCCAGAGAATCATCAGAGGTATACTTAAAACCATTAATTCATGAATCAAGAAGGATTCTTTATAGATTTTTGGCAAGTTCTAAAAATTCAAACTAAAATATTTCCTATGATCATGCAGCTTCATCTTTCTCTTTTCACAAATACAAAAAGAAAATATCAAATAATTATCATTTAAAAATCTAATCTAGGGGTTCCACAGATGGCATAATGGCTACATGGACTCCCACATGATTGACCACAGTTCAAGTCCCAGGTCTGGTGGCTTCAAAATCACACCAGGCTTTGCATGCATGCTTGCCCAAGATCCTGGGAGGAGAATGCAGGAGAAGGGATTGCAGCATGGCCATCCCCTGAGATGATTTCTTATTTTACCCCTTATCTTTTTTCTCTTACCCTCCCTGCCAAGCACATGAGCCCTAAGGCAAAAACCTCTTTAAATAAATCTAATTTAGTATAATCGAACATAGGAAGATGAATGAAAGAAAAACTATCAGGATCTACGCAAATTCAGCTTTTAAGATTATGCCCAGAGGCTCATTCCATAGTACAGTGATTAAGCACTGTGTTTTGGAAGCAGAGTCCCACATGGCTGCTTGTGCTTTGAATTCCAGTTCCATGTGCATGCCCCAAATCCTGATGGAATGAAGTAATGAGAAAAAAAAGACTGTGGCGTGACCACACCCCATTGGAGGGGTGCTTTCCTCTTTCTCTCCCTCTGGCAAGCATGTATACCCTCTTGGCTAAAAAATTAAAATTTAAAAATTAAATTATCCCCAGATAGCTAGAGTCATTAAAGCATACTAATGAAGCATAATCCAGTGGAAGTCTTCAGAGGATGTCTCTAGCAAGTAATAAAGTTTGTAGTTAGCAAAGGAATTCTCTTCTGCACAAGAGTTCACAAGTACCTTCAGTTATTTGAAACCTTTCATTCTCTAGAATTATAATAACTTTTTTCTTATTATATATGCTCACTGTGAAAAGTAAATAGGAAATACTGTAAAAACAAAGAAAACAGAAAATCACCAGTGACTCTTTACTAAGAGAAAAAAACACCATGAACAAGATATGTAAATATTGGAGCCAACAGGTGGTGTGGAGGTTGAGGCAGCTGGATCCCATATGGCTGACTGCATGGTTGGAGTCTTGAACCTGAAAGCTTGAAAATCATGCTGGGTGTGTGTACGTGCATGCCCAAAATCACAAGAGGAGAATGAAGGACAAGGGATTGTGGTATGGCCATCCCCCGTGGGTCGTGATTTCTCACTTCTCACCCCTCTCTCTATTGCTCTCTCTCTTTCCAGTGAGCGCACGTGCCCTGTAGCGCCCGTGCCCTTTAGCAAACTGAAGGAAAAAAAAGATAAAAACTTTTTCTAAAAGGTAGTAAATGTTTTCAAGCTTTTTTCTTCAGGAAAGTATGCCTATAAAACTAAAATCATACATTGCTAAGACTGCTTGTTTTGCATAATTATGTATTAAGAATATTTCCTCTTTACTTCTGTCAGGAAAAGATTTTGTAATGGGGAAAACAGATGATCCAGGTTTTCCTCCACCTTTTTGCCTTTAGTTGATTTAAAACCCTGAATCGTAGAAAACTGGTAATGATGTAAATGTTCTAGTCCATACTGATACAAATCGATGGTGCCCAAGGAAACAGAACATTACCACTCTATAACGGAGCACACAATTTTTTGATACCTGCACCACAGAGATTTTGTGCTTCTTTGTTTCTTTTTTACTTTTTCTTTTTTCGGAGAGGTTTTTGCTATGGGGCGCGTGTGCTTGCCAGACAGACAGAGAGAGACAGAGAGACAGAAAGTGAGAAATCACCCCCCAGGGGGGATGACCACACCACAATCCCTTCTCCTCCATTCTCCTCTCTGGATCTTGGGCACGCGCGCACATGCGCCCGGCGTGAGTTTAAGCCACCGGGTCTGGGACTCGAACCACGGTCTACTACGTGGGAGTCCAGCGACATAGCCATTAAGCTAATTGCTGGTCCCCTTTTTTGTTTCTTGATGTGCAGCTCTAACCTTTTCTGTCTGGAGGCATCTGGGGACTGCCCTCAGTATGCCAGGCATGCGTGACGGTGATCCACTACTGGCTGAGGGGGTTTGGGGGATGATGGATTAAAACTCTGAAGAGTCCTTTCTCTCCGCCATCTGAGCTCATAGAAGAAACAAATAAATACAGTTAAATAAATAATGAAAGGGATCCTTACTAGAGCATTAAAAAAAGAAAAAGAAAAAAAAAGTGCACAGTGCAGAGAAAAGTTTGGAAATCAAACCAGGCCACCGTCTAGAGATCACTTTATTTAATGGGACTTCAGGAAGTGAACGTAAGACCCAGCAAGTGCTCAATTGTGAGACATCTTTCCATTTCCATGGTTCTTTCTGGACCTAACGTCCTCTCTGCACAGCGAGCAGTTAACTCTCCGGTCTCCAATAAAGGGGAAAAGGCGAGTGATAAAATAATTCACTCCAATTGCTATTTAATGAATTAGCTGTGCCAGGAGTACTTCAGAGAGAATCTAAAGGACTAAGGACGAACCCCAAGGATTGAAACTACTGATAAAATGACTGATATTAGGAGTGAACTTCCTCACATTAAACCATATTGGCAATTTCGTAGGCTATACTGTACATAACCTTCGTCCTAAGTAGAAACTATTTTTAGATTTGGAACTTGGCAAATCCTCCTACTGTCATAATTAAAAATTGCACTGCAGTCCTCACCAGGTGATGCTGTTCCATTTTACTCTACTTGGCGTTAGTGTACCAATCCCTAAGGAAGACTGAGTAGAGGAGCTGTTTTTGGAAACTATCAATATTGCGGGCACGCATAATGCATCCACATATTCCAAAAGGAATGACCAGTTTTGAGAGTTGGGCAATGCCCCACAGTACCATTGAAACTCCCTAGACTAGTTCATTGTCAGACTTGAAAATCATTGCTGTGAGGCCAAGATCCACAGCTAAGAAAGACTAAAAGTAAAAGCAAGCTTTCAAGGCTCAGCCCTGTGAGAAAGATGGCACATCCCCTGTGGGTCTTTTCAACCCAGTCTGTCCTTGAACTTCATCTGCAGCACAAAGACATCTGTCTAGCCTTTGAAGGACAATAATCTTGCAGTGAGCTGTGATGCAGGAGAAGGACAAGGTGTTCTGTTTTCACTTCATTCCTTCCTCCCTCCCTTGACAACCAGTGCCCAGGAATCATGTAATCTACATATTGAGGGAACTATGTCGTCTCTCTTGCAGACCTAAAACTTTCTAAAGAAATACCATAAATTTGCAAAAGGCCAGTGGTGCTCTGTGCATAGCGGTTAAGAGTGCTGACTGTGAGATCAAAAAACCTAGGTTGGGAACCAGCAGTTAGTGTAATGGCTATGTCGCTGGACTCCCACGTAGTCGACCGCGGTTCACGTCCCAGACCCAGTGGCTTAAAACTCATGCCGGGCGCATGTGCATGCGTGCCCGAGATCCCAAGAGGAGAATGGAGGAGAAGGGATTGCGGCGTGGCCATCCCCTCTGGGGGGTGATTTCTCGCTTTCTGTCTCTATGTCTCTGTCTGTCTGGTGAGTGCACGCGCCTTATAGTGAAAACCTCTCAAAAAAAAAAAAAAAAAAAACACCTAGGTTTACCTGCCAGCTCAGATGTTTTCTAAAAATGGAACCTTGGTTAGTGTTTACCCATTCTCTACCTCAGTTTCCT